CGTCTTACACTGCTAAATTAGGGACGGCTAGCACAGATAGCCCTCATGTAGCTTTGCACGAAATCCATAACATAACAAACAATACTCTTGAGATCAAGATATTAATTATTGTGTAGTGCTATAATGGTCAATGTGTTAGTGTTTTTCATAATATCTAAATCCAAGAGCCATAAAAGAATAAAACTAATTTAAGAACTTGAAATAAGATTTTACTTGTAGCAGTTTTTAGTTAATGTATTAAACAAACTTAGGTAAGAATGAAAAACTTGACACTAAAGTAGTATATTACTATTGTGCAACACCAGTATCAGTGACAAATGTTGTCTCTCTGACAGTTATCACAGCTTCTATGGTTAGACGTCACGAAGGCATGGGAATGATATCACTGTTTTATCAGCAGGTCTGATTCTGTGTATAAATTGTCCTATATTTATAATTCCAATTTACAACTCGATTATTTGAAAGTATAAATAATCTGACAATCTCTTGAGCAAACAAAACTTGCATAAACCTGAATATGTTTTGGTTACATGATTGATCCATAGATATATGGTAATAAGATTTCAGTACATTAAAACTATGTATCAAGTTCATTTATAGCGAAAGCATGTGTGAAAAAAATAGAATGTTCTATGGATTAGTGGGTAAATTTGTTATAGTGTACGATTGTTTTGCTTCTGTATATTTTACATAGATTAACCTTTTTTTTGTGTAAGTTTGCAGATCAGAAAATATTGCTTAACTAGTCAAATATTCCATTGTACAACAGTGAAGATGTTCCTGTTCACTATTAAGATTTGTGTGTTAGGGTAAGTTGGATATGTTTGTTTCTGCAGCATTTTGAAAAATTATATAATGCATATATATGATTTGTTTATATCTCTTTTAATGAGCAGGTGGAACATCTTGAATCCATTTGTGAACAATATATTTGGTAAGTGGTATTAGAGTTTTATATACCATCAACGCAGAAGTGGTTAAAGTGTGTATATCATGACCCATTTACAATGTTTTACTTTCAAACTTCATGCAGTAATACAATGTGAAAAAATTACAAACATTAATCTATTCTATTTGTTAAATGAACCAAAGAAGTCCTTCACCCCTTCTCTCTCTCTCTCTTTGACTTTTAAGAACAAAACTGACACATTAAAGGTGCAGTTTATCATTTTCTGTGTTTCTTTAATTGAGGATAACTGGTCATCTGGATAGTAAACATTTTTTAAATCTAGATCTGTAGGTTGCTTACTGACAATATACGAGTACAAAGATTTCATATGAAATGTGTTAGATACTTGCACTTGAATTACTTATATCTGTATTTTCTGCAGGTTTTAGGTGCAGAACATGTCTGATTAAATCTAGATCTGTAGGTTGCTTACTGACAATATACGAGTACAAAGATTTCATATGAAATGTGTTAGATACTTGCACTTGAATTACTTATATCTGTATTTTCTGCAGGTTTTAGGTGCAGAACATGTCTGATTAAAAGCAATATTTAAAAGAAGTTCTGTTATATATTCTACTCCATGATTGTGGTTTTGTAAAATATTCGGAATGGTCTTAAATGTTCCATCAGCATACAAGTAATCACAAGTTGCCAGTAACTGTAGGTTCTTTCATGTACAGAAAATCAATATTCTATCATTCGTTGCACTAGAGTCAAATGCTAAAACTGTTATCCATTTCCAGTTTTAGTGTACTCTTCTGGAAAAACAACATCTCTTCGATAATTTGGAGTAACTAACCATAGATGTTGCTTCCCGCGTAAATTCCGAATATTTCTTTTTTTATTCTGTCTACGGATAGCAATTTAGCTGCCACAGCTTGACTGAGTCCAAAGAATGCTGTGATACAATATAATGTGGTGCATAACGTGTATTCTATAAATAATTTCGTATGCTGTGCATTACATACATAGCTGAAATACCAGTGGCATCGCCAGAATGCTAGTGCTCAAGACACTCTCGACTAATGTTATCATCAATTGTTATCACACGACCTTTGCTTTTTTTTCTTCTAATTTCCAATAAACCCTTTTCCTCCCTTGTTGGTCTTTAACAAATAAATATGTGTTCAACTCTAACTTATGTCTGCCTTTCTCACGCTCAACAAAATTTAACATTTTGGGAGAACCAGTTTGCAGTAAACTTATAATAGCTTTCTCGATATAGTATACATAAACAATGCACTGTGTACAACTACTTCGCAGGATTGTTCGTATACAGTGACTGATGGTCAGTCGAGGACACTTTCAAACACACTTCTCTGGACGTTTCAGTTTATCCAACACTCCTCAGTAGTGATGGAAGAGACTAACATATCAAACAAACAAAAACCTTGGCAGTTATTACAGTTTGAAGTCTTCCGGTCTTATGTTGGAATTGATATTGACGCTTTGAAGACGCTTGTTGAGTCTAACCCAAGGCACACTCGTGAAATAGCCCTGAAATTGCATTTCTCTCGTGAAACAATACGTAAACATCGTTTCCAATGTGTGAACGCTGCTTCGTCTCTTCTGGCGCGTAATGCGCGTGAACCATTTTTACACAGATTTGTCCCCGGTGATGAAAAATGGATTTTCTATGCGAATATTAAATACTAAAAACAATGGCTCAGTCCTAGACAAAAACCACTTTCAACCCCAAAACCTGGATTCCATCCGAAAAAAGTGATACATTGCATTTGGTGAGACATCAAAGGAGTAATTCATTTCGAACTCCTCAATCCACAGCGAACTGTCTATGCAGAGATCTGTAGTCACCAACTGTAACGTTTAAATCAAGCCCTTCATCGGAAACGCCCTTCACTCGTCAATCGGAAAGGTGTTGTTCTTCTCCACAACAATGCACGTCCGCATATGGCACATATGATGCAACACAAGATTATGGAGTTGGGTTGGGAAGTTCTTCCCTCACCCACCATATTCTCCAGATATGGCACCATGATTACCATATTTTTCGTTCGCTGCAACACCATCTTAATGGGAAAACGTATGCAAATGTGGAAGGTGTTGAAGAGGACATCGACATGTTTCTTGTTACAAAGCCAAGTGATTTCTTTAATCAAGGCATTAACAACCTAATTGTAAGATGGAAGAGCATCATCGATAAGAATGGAGACTATTTCATTTACTAAATGTTTTGTTTTGATATATATATTGTTCGGGTTTTTTCATCTAAAAAAAAGCGACATTAATTTATTGACGACCTAATATGTTTCGACTTATAGAATGAATGAGTTTTTCAAGTACAAACCTTTAGCTCATAGTTTCGTCATCTCTTGACCGACTTGAGATCTAATTACAGTTTTGGACTCAGGGGGTCACTCTTTCGATTGACGTATTTGACCACGCACAAGGTCTCTTGGATTAATTTACTCCAATCCTGCCTAAAATAATTTCAATTCGAGGGTAGGCTGGTATAGATTCTGATGAATAATTGAATCGAATCGAGTATACGCGTGCTCCACGCTTGGTATTTCTGGTGCATAAAAGTATAGCTAATAAAAATGTCAAAAAAAGAGTCCCATAGATTAATTTACTCTAATCTGTGTAAATGAATTTCAAGTGCCACGGCTATTGAGGATTCCCTCTTGTTTTTTGAAGAATTTACCGAATACGGAGGTGTGAATAAACGAAACATAAAACGTTTAATTCACCATTTTTGTTGTCTTGTGGTTACACGCAGTAAGAAGACAAAAATGAAACGAAGCGATTTATCTAACCCATATGTGTAAAAACTACGTATTTGACAATTGCCAGACAAGAACATTTAGCTATATAAACATTGTTTTTGAGATTATTTGTGTTGATAAAGTGTTATTGATGTCTTTCAGGTCGTCGGTGTTGATGAAGTGTTATTGATGTCTTTCCAATAACACTTTATCAACATAGACGACCTGAAAGACATCAATAACGCTTCATCAACACAAACGAACTGAAAGACATCAATAACACTTCATCAACACAGACGACCTGAAAGACATCAAATGTCTTTCAGGTCGTCTATGTTGATAAAGTGTTAGGCATCAATAACGCTTTATCAACACAGACGACCTGAAAGACATCAATAACGCTTCATCAACACAGACGACCAGAAAGACATCAATTTCAGGTCGTCTGTGTTGATAAAGCGTTATTGATGCCTTTCAGGTCGTCTGTGTTATTGAACTGTGCTCTTCGTTTAATAGATCTTCTTGATGAACTTTAAACACATTTTTCAATATATGAAAACTTTTCATGTTTGTTGTTAAGCAGAAAGCTATACAATGGGCTATCTGTGCTCTTCCCAATGCGGGTATCGAAATCTAATTTTTATAATTTTAAGCCCCGACACTTACTGTTGAGTTAACGTGGGGATTTTCCAACTTGTAAGTCGTTGGCCGAATACAAGTCAATAATAGATATTAAATGATAAAACGTGAAAGGCTTAGCATATCCTATGCTAATAACATAATACTTCAATTTCACATGAAAAGCTCTAATATGGGATAAATAGACATTGTATTCCAGGCTATAAGATAGAAGTAAAATTATGCTTCAACAATCTTGCTTTCAATAGCTTACTAACATTATATATACATATATATATGTTCGAGCAGAAAGCAACACGATAATTGATGTTACGTGCAGGTAAGAAATGCAACAATATTTTTTTTTATTAGTCGATTTATATCGTAAGGAAGTAAGTGGTTACATACTTGGGAGTTACATATAGTGCAAAGTCATACTAATAGATGGGGCTATTTTCCTATTGTGCTCTTCTGTGTAACTTTCATAATATACTCATTGTAAAAGTGTTTTAACTTTCATATAAATTTGAAACATAATCAATATTCTCTCACTTGGTATAGAGCTTGAAAAACACGTTTACAAAATTTGATTCTGAAAATCTAATTTTCTTAGAAAAGTAATAGAAATAAGTGAGAGCCAATTCCATTTCATTGTACGGTAGCTAAAAAGTCCTTAAATATTCAGAAAAAGCAGCTCTCATAAACAGGAAATATATGCACAATGTATTATTCAATTGTACATAGTAGAAAGAAAATATAATTGGTCCCAATGGGTACCGGAGAACTGGAGCCAGGTTTAAAAAAATCGTGTTGACGAAACAGCATTGATCGTTTGGAAAACTCGAAGCATTTGTAAATGTGTTTTAAATACACCTTATTATATATTTTGTGTGTGTATGCTTTATTATTTCGAAGGCCAATGCGATATGTGAAAGTACAAATAGTTTTATTTTAATTATTGTTTTAGAGCAAAGCCACATTGAGCTATCTGCTGTGTCACCGCGGAGAATCAAACCCCGTATGTGAGCGTTGGAAGTCCGTACATTTAACGCTGTCCCACCAGGGGACAGTATAAATAGTAAATGCATATTAATCGTTCGCTTTCAATGACGTTTAATGTCTACCACGTCAGAGATTAATCTAATTTGCTGTAGATAACACTATAAAAATTACACTGAATAAATTTTTACCTTCATTTTATCGCATTATTCAGAGATATCAAACCTCATGAAACTGAATTAATTATATAGAGACAGTTTGAAACTTTACAAACTAATTTAACATTGGAGTTTGTTGAGGATTTAGTATATTTGTTCTACTATTCGTTGATGATATTACAACAAGTCTCACAAATCAATAAATTCATCTCTGAAATGAGATTCACTCTTCCACAGTGAAACAAACTTTCCTTCAGAGAACAGTGGGTTAAAGTCTCTTCGAAAGAGGTAAGATTTAATTACTGTTTGTGAATTAGATTTAAGACTTTATAATTGGAAAGAGGTGAATAGAGAGTGAACTGTAATTGCGTTGTGGAACGAAGTTATTACAGTTGTACTGAAAAATCCACTTAGCCGATTTCATAACTATGACAAATTCTCTTGGGAACCCTAACATATAGAAATGAATTATTTTATCTAATATACAAATTTACTAGGTTCACGGTAGCCTCATTAAAAATATTCAAATTGCATTTAACTCCACCAGGGAGCCATCTTAAATAGATAAGTTTACTGGAAGCGTTATTTTATAATATATATTACATTTAAATATAACTACATGCTAAAAATATCTCTGTAATAATTTTATATATGATAAATTAAATAATACTCGAATCCTACAAGACTGTATAAAAAGAAACACTACATTTAATAAATTAAGTTTTTTTTTAACATTTCAGAAATTTGAAATACCTCGTAGTTACTGTTCAATGAATTTAAATGTTCTAGTCAGGAAACAAAATTTGGTATTTTACAAATTTTGAACAGTAGACTTATCAGGACGAAAAAATTTAAAGATAACTGCTATATAGAAACGTTTACCTTTTTTTTTTTTTTGCTAATTAATCTTGAGGCAACAAATGACGCTTCATATTCATTAAAGGCAAGGTGCCTTTATTTTGGAGAACTTTCATGTTTCCTCTCGAGAATACACTGAAAAAAAACCACTGGAGGAAAAGGATATCCTAAGTAAATGGTGAACAGCTTTATTCGTGTTGTGTTTAACTGAATGCTCTATATAATATAGGAGACAAACAATGAAAGCCTGAGAAGCAGGAGAGAACATCAGCAGATGAGTCAACAAAAGGCGACTCCTTTCTAAGTCTATTGTAGAGCCAGTGACTGAATAGCAAAAGCATTGATGCAATCAAACGAAAAGTCTAATATAGAACAATACAGCAGTTTAAATGAGGCTACAGTTCAACTATGAAAATCCAAATGTTGGAAACAAAAACTAATACAGAATTGATTTTCTCTGAATCTGTTGAAGCATTATGCTTACGGCATTAAGTATTATAAAACTAAACCTCACTATAATTACAACAACACTGAAGAAAAACGTCTCTCAGCACCATCAATGACCTAAACGTAATTAGGAAGTTTCTACAGTAAGTTAGTTTCATTATGCAAGCCAAAACATTTACATGACAAAATATTAACATGTACTTTAACGTTTCTCATTAACGAACTAACGGGTCTTTTCAAGATCCAATTTTTTGCGTCTCATGGTCCCAGGAATCGAACCATGCATTTCTCGCACGCCATTCTTCCACTACCGTTAACAAACATCGTAATTGGGATTTTTCTCAGTGTCGTGGGACGGCCACTAGTTGTGCGCCAGTTTTTCATTACTTGCATCACAGCCCCGCAGTGGCACAGCGGCATGTCTGCGGATTTACAACGCTAGAATCCGGGTTTCGATACCCGTGGTGGGCAGAGCACAGACAGCCTATTGTGTAGCTTTGTGCTTAATTACAAACAAACAAATACTTGCATCACACTCTAATTGGATCGAACCCTGGGCCTTTGACTACTTTGATATGACTACATGTTTACATTTATAGGTCTCAAAAATACCTAATAATACCAAGTAATCGTTTTTTTTTCGCATATTGAAATAGTGTTCTACAAGTTTATCTACAAATTAGTT